CCGAGGCCCACTTCCTCCACGTCTGGTGAGAGCAGGACAAGCGATTCTGCGGGGGGAGGGAGGGAGGGTCACAGTGCGGGCTGGGCTGGGGCTGCAGTGGTGGAATAGCACAGTGAGGCTCCGGCAATGCTATTATGGCTCTGTCTGTCCCAGAGGTCATGACTGAAGGACAATTAACAAACAAGGACAACAAGGACAAGGACAACAAAAACGCTGGGCACTCCTAGAAATGCGCAGCTACAGTAGGATACATTTCGCTTAACCCCTCCAATACTGGTGGCTGGAATGTCACCTGTTGCCGGCAACAGGAGCCATATGGAGAAAATCCAGCTGCCAGCATTAAAGGGGTTAAACTATTGATAGGAAATTTAGACACACACCTCAAGTCTTCAAGCATCAACCCCAAAATCTCAGGAAGAATTTTTTATTATTATTTATTTTATTTATTTTTAACATGACTTATATCTGTAGCTTTATTACCAGTAGTATTTTCTTGCTCTAGAACACGACAGTAGCAAGACGAGGGTAAGGCTCGCATTTCTCTCTTGCTTGCTTTCAACTGGAAGACGGAATAACTTTGCTCTTTAAGTAACACACGCTGTCACCGCTGCGATTGCAACAAGACTAATCTAGCACTCGCAGTGCCTTTCTCATGCGCTTGGAGGGGCCTTATCCAGCCCCCTTGTTCTCGCATGCTTTTTCCCCCAACACACACGCATGCACATGCACCCACACACGCACTCGCACCCCACCACGAGTGAGATGTTCCCCCGTACAGGTGTGATGATACTCGCTGGCCTCCATTTGACTCTCCGGTCAGAGGAAGGGTTTCACTTAAAGTACAGTAGAAGAGCTGCAACATAGGAAGAGGAGCTGGTGAAAGCGTTAAGTCAAAACCATTTTGAGAGGGGATCCAAGCTGCGTGGGCAAATATTGCCCATTGGTTTCTGCTGACTGCAGAGACAAGCGAACTGATGGATTTATAAAATAATAATAAAATAATAATAATAATAATAATATACTGAAGCAAATCAAACATATATAACAGCGGGTGCGTAATTTCCATAGGTTACGTTGCTATGTAACTCTTCTCTGTACACACGCTCAGTCCGTGATGGCCAGAAAATCCCCCTAGGATTCAGAAGACCATGTCTAATGCTGAAAAGTGGAAATAAGTGTGAGGTTGAAATTCATCGTGTTTCCTGCTTTTGGCTTGAACCACTTTGAACACCTTCAACCGCCACGTTGTTCAGGCCTGGAACAGGCTTAACGCTCCACCATGTGGCAAATGCAAGAACATCTACTGAGAAAAAAACCAAAAACTCAACATCTCGTCTGCATCTCCTCTGACTATTTCATATGAAATTCACATATTTTTTCTTCCAGTTATTGGCTGTGGTATCCAAGGGCCTCCCACCCCACTGCCCCCATTTCCAGCTCAGAGAACAAACACAGCGACTATCACAGATATACAAGAACAAGCTCACGCACACCAATACAAAAGGTAACATTAATGCTTAAATGAAAAAGGTCCTCTCCAAATAATTCATTAAAATATTAAAAAAAATCATTTTTGAAAAAATCTATGATACCAAAAGATCTAATAAAGTAGTAAGGCACTCAAATCAGTATATACTGTAGTCTCTTGCATTATTATACTGAAAGGCATATGGCACTGCGTCCAGTCTGCCACAGCTATAGGTCGCTCTTCCAAAACAAGACTCCAGAAACCTCGCTCTGCTGGCTTCAGTTTACGTGCTGGGACAGGTCCAACCTCCTAGCCAGTCATTCAACCCCCAAGAGCTGAGGTGCACTGTCTGCAGGGGCAAGGATGTGATTCACGGGAGACTTTTTGTTGTGCATCTCCAGCAAGTCTGGAATGAAACCTGAGGGCCTCTCGTGCTCAGAGCTACCCCGAGGTTCCTGGTCTATTGCGGTCTGTTTCTGTGCGCTCCTGGTGGGCTCCGCGAGGCAGGTTCCGGCTCCTTGCCCGCTCAGCCTCTCCTCTCTGCAGGGAGAGTACTTGACCGTGCCGGCCAGGGACTCTTTTCGGCTTCCCACAAGGGATGTATGGCTACTGACGCCCCCCGCGGAGTCGCATTCGTTTTCTGAGATGGGGTTGGTGCCGCTGTGGCTAGACTCATTTTCGCTGTCTTCTCCACACCTCGACTGGGTCTCCTCCTTGTCGCTCTCCTTCCCATGGTTTCGGGCATTTTTGACTTTCTGGTGTATGCGCTGGTGACGAACCAGGCTGTGTTTCAGAGTGAAGGTCCGTTCGCAGGTTTGACACTTGTAAGGTCTCTCACCTAGAAAAGAATTAAAATACAAAGTCAGCCATAAGGTCACAAACACGCCTCCCTCTTGTTTCAAGCAGCGTTAAGACGCTCTACACTGTGGAAATTCAGCATCCACATCAAATGTGGATATCACATTTATGCAGATTTTTTGCTCCTATACTAGCAAACTAGCTGATGGCATGCGAGGAGGAATACAGATAAAACCCCCAAGGCACAAATGAAAAATAAAACTAAGCATCTTGAGATTTCTACAAGCTTGGTATGGCCCTGCACTAAGGAGGGAGGAAGACCATCAGCCTCAGGTGCTCGTTAGCATCCTGTCTAATTTAGCAAGCAACTTTTCTGGAAAAAGTTTGCAGTTGTCCTCTGGAGCTCAAAAAGCCTTTGTGAAACCAGCCCACCACAGGGGCTCCCTGCTACAGGTCAGCCCCAACACACACGGAGAGGGCTTGAGATGGAAGGATGAGGATACTGCCCAGGTAAGCGGGATCAACAGCGCTCAAAACCTGAACCAAACCGTACATGATAAAACATCTCCCTCTCTTAGCTGCTGACTAAGGATAAAATGTGCACGTTCCTCCCTGAAGTTGAAGAGAAGCTGTCAGGAATTACCCTTGCCACAGCAGCCCCTCCTCTTTTTGCGAAGCAGAAGACAGTATCGCCATGTTCCAAAACAGACACAGAGCTGTGAAAGGACCTAGACTTGTCAGGCATTCATGGGACATGGAAGGTGTCTGCTACAGGTGATCAAAATCTACTGACCGAGTGAAGAATGCCTGCCTCTGGATATTATCTACAGAGCTGCTGGCGCTCCTCAGCCCGCTGGTGCTTTAGGATAGGAGCAACATTGAAAGCCCCACAAAAACCTCTTCATGGCCATTCCAGAAATGCTGCTCGGAGAACAAAATTCTTCCTCTTATTTTGCAATCTTAAACTGCAGAGCAGCTGCAGCCATCCTCTGCTGTAACCGTCAGTCTGCTCCGATCTCAGAGTTGCTTTCTGCACCTGAAATGCTCAAATACTTTCCTAAGCACGAGCGCACCAGAAAACAAAGCAACCACAGCCCCACAGACAAAATTCCCCCCAAAGTCCCAACCAAGCCAGTGCCTCAAGGTGCTGTCTGCCCTGGAGAACCGAAGGTCCCACCCTGACCGCTTCATTCTCTGTTTCCAATTGCACCTATTAAAGATTTTTCAGTGCTGCAATTCCATCAACACACCATCGTGTGCTAATGAGCATACAGAACAAGACGCTCACGGCTCATTTCTCACCTGTAATAACGCTTGGGATCATTAAAAGAAAACCAATCACAATCTTGAGACGGCTGGCTGAAATGTGCAGGTAGGTCCTGCTGTCTCTGCAAAGCCTGACGCTTCTTAGAAAAGTTTCTCTCCAGTGTCCTGCTCGGGCATCTGCTATGAAGGGAGGGCACAGCTCCCCAGGAGCATTTTTGGCCAACAGCCTTTGCCCATCTGGCAGTTGGCTGTGGCTGATGCAGCACTGTGGCTCACCCTGCACTTGGGTGAGCACCAGAGCACCCCACAGCTACGTGCTGGGAAGCAGCCTGCACTGGGGGAACAAATAATTTCCAGCCCAACTGCCATTCAGCAGGCAGGCAGAGGTTCCTCGCATGCTTCCTCATGTCCCAGACGTTCCTCTTCTGAGTAAAGAAATTCCAAAACCTTACGAGCTATCTTTAAAAAAACCCACACATTAAAACTGAAGTATAAGGAATATGACAACCTGATGGTATTTTGTCAATACACCTGAGCAAGTGGGAAGGAGAGAAGGAGGAGGAGAGTCAACCCACAGTACTGAGGCAAAATCCTAAGTTGAAAACATGCTGATTTAGCAGTGGGGGTAGGTGGTATTTACATTTATCAAATCCGAAGAAAGCACTGTCCCAGGTTCCTATTCAACACCTATTCTATGTTAAAACATCCTTCAGTGTCAAAGAAGAAAGAGAAACAAATGGGAAAAAAAACATACCGACAAGGCCCACATAGCTCAGCACGCAATGAAAACAATTAAAACATACAGTATGGGAATCTCCAGGGGCACACATCATTTGGGGGTAAAGCTCAGTACTTTAGATATCAGCATCTTCCCAAAGCTTCTGAATTAGTATGAAAATAGGCACAAGAATAGGATCTGTCTCCTGTTTCACTTGTGGCTCAATGCCAGAAGAAAACAGGTCAATTTTGCACTCGATATGATTTAGAAGGGTAAAAGGTCTGGTTAAGGCACTCGTCTTTGGTGTCATTTACTAAACACCACTGTCAATTACAGCACAAATATTTTGTTAATCGCAAAGATCTTGTCTCCAGCAGAGAGCACCTTCAAAAGATACAAATTGTCAAACTTCACCAGTCTTCCCATGCCAGAGCAGCTCACTGACAGGTAAAATGCATCACTGATAAGGATGAATGATTAATTTACCTTTGAGCTGGCTCATGGCTTCATCTCATTTGCAAGGCACTGCCGCAAACTCTGTATCGCATCATGCAACCCCACGTATTTTAACTGTTGACTCAAGTCATCGGATAAACTTTTTACTACCTGTGTTGCACCTTCCCTGCCCAAGTCTGAATGAAGAGCAGGGTATCCACTGTAGCTTTGCCTTTCACCTAAGCAGCAAGTCACACAGATCACCAGGACATTACCCATA